CAGCCATACGACTTGGCCCCTTTAAGACTTGTGGACTTCAACTCCCAAAATTCTGGGAGTTGAAGTCCACAAGCCTGAAAAGTTGCCAGGGTTGGAGACCCCTGAATTAAATCATGGCAAGAGGGAGGCAGTGACAAATTGGCATTTCTACTTTATTTTGGGGGGTGGAGAGGCCTGTTGTATTAAAAAAAATAAAATCACAGCCAGGTGGATCTTGTCATCACCTATTTTGCACTCTCAGCACACAAGTTGAGGCAGGCTAAGCAACAGGTGCGTTTGGGTTGGCGAAAGCCAGCCCTTCGCTCTCGGCTCTTCTCCAGCTCTAACCTTCCCTGCAAAGTTTGTGCAAAGATTACAATTCTTGGATGAAAGCTCCTCAGAGGTGGGTATTCACCCGGTTCTGACCAGTTCTGGAGAACCGGTAGCGGAAATTTTGAGTAATTTGGAGAACCAGCAAATCCCACCTCTGACTGGCCACACCCCCATCTATTCTCCGCCTCCTATTGAGTCCCAGCTGATTGGCTGGGTCTTCTTTGGTTGCCCTACACAGGAGAACAGAGCTGGAAAGCAGGTTAGTGTGGTGGGGAGGGAATGGGGATTTTGTAGTAATCTTTCCCTGCCACGCCCACCAAGCAACACCCACAGAAATGGTAGTATAAAAATTTTTTGAATCCCACCCACCACTGAAGCTCATTCTTTCTCTAGGCTCTCCTTCAGAAGAGCTTCTGGGAAAAGTTGATGGAATAACCCCAAAATGAAGCCTGATATGTAATTAAAAGGAAAACAATTAACCTTGGGGTGGGGGGGAGTTAATTTTCCCAAGAAGTCACAAGAGAAAACCCGGACTGTTGCGGAAGACTCGAATCAATACCATGAAGACATGCATGCTCGCACACACCTTTTGCAAATTTATTTGCATGTTTATTTAATTAATTATTACATTTTTATGCCGCCTTGTCTCCCGCCATCAGGTGACTCTGGGCTTGAAAAGAAAACAACAGTCTCCTTCGAAATAAAACAGAAATAAAACAGCTGTATTTGTGTTCACCGCGTAGACTTAGCTTAACATTTTTTTTTATTGAGTTACAAGGTAAAATAAGATGCAGAAGAACTTCTCACATGCGCTCCTGTTTTGCTTTTTCTAGGCTGCATCTTCTACCCCTGGCAAAAAGCTGTGGATCTCTTGTGATCAGGCGCAGTTGGTAGCAAACCTGATCAGGCTTGTTGGAGCAAAAAAGGTAATTGAGATAGGTAAGTGAGATTGCCTACAACTGGGAAGATTCGGGATTTTGTCCCACAATAAACTGGCCACCCTGTAAGTCACAATCTAATCCAGGGGTCGCCAACCTTTTGGACCTCAGGGACCACCAAACTCATAATTTTAAATCCTGTGGACCGGAGACCCTGGGAAAATCCCCCCAAAAAGTCTGCAGGAAAATTCCCCAGCCCGTTTTCCTACCATTCAGTCATTCTTTATTTGGTATCGCAGGATGCCGTCTCCAGCTCCATTCTGAGGGGTAGAGAGAGAAAGAGAGAGAGAGAGACTTTTGGCTTCATGCAAGGAAAGCAGCAGAAGCAGCAGAAATCTTCTCTCCCCCAAACTCCGCCAGGAATAAGTCTTTGTGAGACTTGTGCTGATGCAGCCTCTTGGAGCAGGAGGCCTTGCAGGGTCCCAAAGACTCATTTCTGGCAGAGTTTGAGGGAGAGAAAGAAAGACTTTGGCTGCTTTCCTTGCGTGCAGCCAAAAGCAGAAGAAGAAAGAAGTGGAAAGCAGAGGCCCGGTGGCCAGGCCAGGTGCGTAGGGTGAGTGGGGCAAGTTGCCCCCCTCCGCCCTTTCCCCCCTCCCCTCACTACCTCGTGTTGTTCGCAATGCAAGCGACACAAGCCTTGTGTTCCCGTGGGCCACGTGGCCAGCACAGCCTTGTGTTCCAGCGCAGCCTGGATTAATTACTTTGCGGAGGGTGCTTTGTGGGTAACATTTCTCTGCAGACCACCAAAATTTTCTCGTGGATCACCAGGCCCATTGGTTGGCGACTACTGGTTTAGTGGTTGCTTCAAAGTTACAACGGTACTGAAAAGAGCGACTTATGACCAGTTCTCACATTTAAGACTGTAGTGGCACAGGAGTTAGAATGCAGTATTGCAGGCTGATTCTGCCCACTGCCAGCAGTATGATCCTGACTGGCTCAAGGTGAACTCAGCCTCCCGTCCTTCCGAGGTGGGTAAAACAAGGACCCAGATTGTTGGGGGAAAGAGGCTGACTCTGTAAGCCGCTTAGAGAGGGCTGGGAAGCACTGTAAAGTGGTATATAAGTCTAAGTGGTGTCGCGATTGTTATCCTGGTGATCATGAGGTCAAAACTCGGGCACACTGGCCTGTATTTTCGACTGTATTTCGATCCGCATTTGTGACCCTCCCAGCTGACTTCCAACCAGCAAAGCCAATGAGGGACACCGGATTTGCTTAACGACTACATGATTCACAGTGGTTCGCTTAACAACCACGGCAATAGAGGTTGTAAAATTGAGCACATCTCACTTTAAAAAAAAAAGGAAATTCTGCTCCCGACTGCGGTCATACGTTGAAGACTACCTGTATGTCTTTATTCATTCGGAAACCCAGAAACCCCTTCAACCGCGTTTTTGTAATTTCTCTGTAGGAGTTTCTGCTGGGTACAATACTTTAAGCATGGCGCTAGTCCTACCAGAAGATGGCAGAATTGTTGCCTGCGAGGTCAATGAAGATATGGCCAGTATCGGAAAGCCAGTGTGGAAAGAGGTAGCGTCAGTTTAATTTTGCACAGGGCTTGTTTTTTGTCTGCTGGAAACATTGTATTGGTAATTAGAACTTATAAAACTTACGCTAGAGCCATGTTGGTGAACCTATGGCACCCGTGCTAGAAGCCATTTCTTTCGGCACGCGAGAGATCACCTGGAAGAGACCCCACCGCCCAACGGCGGATTGTCGCATATCTGGCGGCGCATGCACAGGGGTGCGTGGGAGACGCGCACGCATGCACAGAGACACATAGCGCATGCAAGGGGGATCTCACACGCATGTGCCGGTGGTGTGGGGGGGCAGCGTGCATTGCATTCTGGGTGCTGGCACATGAGCGCACATAAGTGAGCGTGCGCGCAATTATTGGCATGGGAGACGAAAAAGGTTAGCCACCACTGTGCTATTTTATTAATTTTATTATTCCACTGTTGTTCAACCATTTGGCATCCCTGGTGCAATCGAGCGGGTTCAGAAGTACTTCACGAGAAAAGTCTTGCATTCTTCTGTACACACTCGAATTCTGTACACTGCTAGGCTCGAAATGTTCGGTTTGGATAACTTAGAACTGTGTCACTTGCGGCGAGACCTATTTCTATTCTTTTATTTATGTCAATGTAGTATTCAGAGATGTTTCTTTCTCTGTCTTCCATCTTTCACCTGCTTTATTATTCGTATATCCCTTATTTAACTCTTCACATCTGTATATATGAAAGTTTAATCCTTCGTTCTTTCATTGTTCAGTGTTTCAATATACAATTCTAATACCAATCACAATATCATTTCAACATACAAGGTAAAGGTTCCCCTCACACAAATGTGCTAGTTGTTCCCAGCTCTAGGAGGAAGTGCTCATCTCCGTTACAAAGCCGAAAAGCCAGCGCTGTCCGAAAACATTTCCATGGTCATGTGGCCGGCATGACTAAATGCCCGAACGCGCACAGAGCGCTGTTACCTTCCCACCAAAGGGGTCCCTATTTTTCTACTTGCATTTTTATGTGCTTTTGAACTGCTGGGTTGGCAGAAGCTGGGACAAGTAACGGGAGCTCACTCCATTACGTGGCGCTAGGGATTCGAACCGCTGACCTGCCAACCTTTCTGATCAACAAGCTCAACGTCTTAGCCACTGAGCCACTGCGTCCCTCATTTAAACATATAGGGTAGATCTATTCATATTCCTTCCATTCATCCCATCCATGTAATTCTACTATTAATACACATGCTGATATTAAAATATATTCTTTCGTTATTTAATTACTCATTGTTTAATTGTATTATTAATATTTATATTATAGATAGATAGATAGATAGATAGATAGATAGATAGATAGATAGATGATAGATAGATAGAGATAGATTAGATAGATAGATAGATAGATAGATAGATAGATAGATAGATAGGTAGGTAGGTAGATAGATAGATAGATAGATAGATAGATAGATAGATAGATAGATAGATAGATAGATATAGATAGATGATAGATAGATAGATAGATAGATAGATAGATAGATAGATAGATAGATAGATAGATAGATGGATGATAGGAAAGAAGGAAAGAAATGGAGGGAGGGAGGAAGGAAGGAAGGAAAGAAAGAAAATTCTTTACTGGCCAAGTGTGGTTGGACACATAGGAAATTTGCCTCGGTGCAAATTTATACAATAATTATATAAATTATATATTATTATACATTAAATTTATATATTATATAAAATTATATAATATAATAATATTATTAATTTTATTATTTCACTACTAATCATTCTGTTCCTTTCTTGAAATGCCACCACATCAATGGATGGTCTGCACAAGCAAAACACACTCACACATACACACACACATATATATACACTAGATGGGGAGCATTTGGGACCTCATGGTATCTTTGACCTGTTTTCTTTCCTTCCAGGCTGGAGTTCTACGTAAGATCGATCTAAGGATAAAACCAGCCATTGAAACGTTAGGTAGGTAGAAGCAAAGGGTTCAACACTCCATCGCTTTGCTCCATCATACTCTCTCCCGCCCAGCCTCCTTGTTGCTAAGCGACACAGTTGTTAAATGAGTTTTGCCCCATTTTAGGACCTTTCTGGGTACAAGTTGTTAAGCAAAGCACCGCAAGATGGGTGGCAAATAAATTTAACCAATAAGTAATAAGCCAATTGAAGGAGAGACTTTCTGAATCACTAAGGTAGTCCTCGACTTACGACCACAATTGAGAGCAAAAAAGCTCCATTGCTGAGCGGAGCGTTGGTTAAGTGAATTTCGCCCCGTTTTATGATCTTTCTTGCCACAGCTGTTCAGGGAATCACTGCGTTTGTTAAGTGAATAACTCGTTTGTTAAGTGAATCTGGTTTTCCCTCATGGACTCGGCTTGTGAGAAGGCCGCCAAAAGAGATCACGTAACCCCGGGACACTGCGACCATCATAGAGATGAGCCAGTTGCCCAGCATCTGAATTTAGATGAGCGGTCGTCAACCGGTGAGCTGCAACCCACTGGTGCGCCGTGAAAAAAATTTTGGTGGGCCGCAGAGAAATCTCACCCCCAGAGCAGCCCCCCAAAGCAATGAATCCAGGCTGCGCGGAAACACAAGGCTGCGCCGCCCACATGGCCCGCAAGAACCCTCCCCGCCCACTCACTCCTTACCCTGAAAACTTGCCTGCTAAATTGCTATTTTTCCTTTTTCCGACCATCAGCTGTTCTTCTGTGCCAGGAGATTTAGATTAGCCAGGAAGCAGGAAATGGTTGGATTTCTTGCTTTCTAGCTAGTCTTTAGATCTTTGGTTCTGCTTTTAAGCGCAGCCAAACCTCCCTTAGGACTGAAATTTCTATTATTCAGTGCAGACTCACAGCAAGCAAATTTTATGTGACAGACTGAGCCAGCTGATGGCAGATAGATAGATCACTGAATGATTCTGTGAGCAACTCAAGCTGCCTGCCTGCTTTGCCTGATTTTGGGTAAAAGTTGCTCTTTTTTAATAAAAAAATTAAATATTGATATAAATATTTATAATATTTACATACAAGCCGTGCCCAGCCAGTCACATGACCACCAAGCCACACCCACAAATTAGGCCACATCCACAGAACCGGTTAGTGGTCCCTCGGTCTTAAAATTATGAGTTTGGTGGTCCCTGAGGTCCAAAAGGTTGACCACCCCTGATTTAGACTATGGGTAATGGTCGTAAGTGCAAAAAATGATCATGTCACTTTATTCAAAGACTCTGTAACTTTGAACAGTCACTAAGTAAACTGTTGTAAGTCGAGGACTAGCTGTAATGAGATAGATAGTTCCATTTTTAAAAAAAAAAATCAGAGAATTTAAAGTTCATGTCCATTAACCAGATTAGCAATGGAGCTTCGGTTCCATTGCCCAAACAGAAATTAAGATCTTTCAAATTCCATCTTTTTCACAGCCAGCATGAATTGGGTTAAAATGTTCCCTTTTCTCACTTGCATGGAATTATTTGACATTAGTGAAAGTGATGGAGGCCTTTTTGCTAATCCGTTTGATGTGATCAACCCTCCCTGAATTCTCCCAAGATGCAGCATTTAAGCGGGACACCCGAAGACTTAGCTGTAATCCCGGTGATCCCCATTGTTGGGTTGAATCAACCTTGAGCTAGTCAGGGTCGAACTGCTGGCAGTCGGCAGAATTCGCCTGCAATACTGCCTTTTAACCACTGCGGATAAGAGTACCACAGATAGTCTTACTACACAGGTAGACAGAAGGGAATATTTTGCATTAAAACAAAACAAAATCCTTCTCTGTTTGTGTGTGTGTGTGTGTGTGTGTAGAGGAACTTCTAGCCAATGGTGAAGCTGGAACATTCGACTTGGCTTTCATCCATGCTGACAAAGAGAGCTACAACGATTACTACGAAAAATGTTTACGGCTCATTAAAAAAGGGAAGATACTAGTGCTTGACAACGTAAGTACTTCCGAAAAAGTAGAATGTGTTGTGACTCCCACTTGGCCAGGAATGGCCCCTTGATTTTGGATCCCCGTGGAACCCCACCCAGACTCCTACCCCACAACCCATAACACATGAATAAGAACAGAGGGATAGAATTGAGATCACGTGAAGTTCTAGTACCGTTTTACAAAGCCTTAGTAAGGCCACACTCGGAATGCTGCATCCAGTTTTGGCAAAAAAAAAGAAAAAAGATGTTGAGACTCTAGAAAGCGTGCAGACAAGAGCAACCAAGATGATAAGGGGATTGGAGGATAAAATATAGGGAGAATGGCTGCAGGAATTGGGGTATGTCTCATTTAATGAAAAGAAGGTCCAGGGGTGACATGAGAACAGTGTTTCGATATCTCAGGGGCTGCCCCAAAGAAGAGGGAGTCAAGCTATTCTCCAAAGCACCTGAAGGCAGGACAAGAAGCAACGGATGGAAACTCATCAAGGAGAGAAGCAACTTAGAACTAAGGAGGAATTTCCTGACAGTGAGAACAATTAATCAGTGGAGTGGCTTCTCTCCAGGAGTTGTGGTTGCTCCAACACTGGAAGTTTTTTTTTAAAAAAAGAGACTGGACAGCCACTTGCCTGAAATGATACAGTTTTTCCTGCCTCAGCAGGGGGTTGGACTAGAAGACCTCCAAGGTCCCTTCCAGCTCCGTTTTATTTGGTATTTTGCCTTTGGCGACAATTCTGCTTTTGATTACTTTCACCCCAGGAAGGATTAAGGTTGTTGTGCAGCCCGCACAAACTTGGTAATAAACCTCCTCGACTGTATGGAATCTTTGCTTTGGCCTGGGAGGTCATAAAACACAGGTCCAATTGTAAACTTAGTTTCAGGTAAGGATAGGGCAAAGATAGCAGTGTTGTGGTTTGCCGGTGCAGACGGCAGTGGAATCGGACAGTGAGGAAGAAAGGGGACCAGTCAGGGAGTCTGGAGAGGACTCGGAGGAGGGTCCTGCGTCCTATGTAGAGATAGAACCAGGACCATCTGGGAGTGATGTGCTGACTCTGGAGCCACTGGAGTCTGGCAGCAGCAAGGCAAAGGAACAAGGGGAGCCTGTTCCCAGTGCGCATGTGCTCAGAGCTGCTGGAAGGTGAGAGCAGCTGAAATAAAAGGGGCGACTCGGGAGTAAGGCTGGGAGGTGATTGCCTGTCCCATCAGGGATAAAAGTCAGACCTCAATGACAAACTCTTTGCAGGAAGCAAAGTAGTTCAGTAATCTCCGAGTTCTTCGTGAAGCTCGGTACTCTGGTCAGTTGTTTCTGGGTTTTGGGGTTGGTGTATGATTAGCCTTAATTGGACTTCTGTTTCTTGGTAGCATTCTGCAGCACTGAAAAGCGTGCTCTTATCTGGAGGAACTGTGTCTAATGAGTCTTGGCTGGGAATGCAAGTAAATTCCCAGCGTCACATTAACAAAGGTTTTCTTTTTAAATTCAATTTGTGTTTTAATAAGTTTGACGGAGCCTGGGTCAGAACAAGCAGTTTGGAACAGACAGATTGTAGAGGCCCCAATTGCCTGCAACTCACTGAACTGGCCAGCACCGGTTTCCAGGTTCATGTGGTTGCAGCAGAATTTGGATATCCCAGTGGTTTAGTCCTGAGAAAAGAGGTAGCTATTTTAATGAGCCTCAGCCAAGAGTTGCATTGAGGTTTCCAGGCCTCCTCTGACGGTTCTCTCCTGTGTAACAGTGTTGTAATACGTGGTGTGAATCCTGCATGCTCTGTATGGTTTTCTCTCTTGTTTCCAACAGGTTTTCGTATCGGGGAAAGTACTTAAACCAGGCAAAAATGATCGCGCAGCCCAGCATGTTCATCAGCTAAATGAAAAAATCTTCCACGATCCCCGTGTGAACATAAGTATGATCCTGATTGGAAACGGGATAACTTTAGGGTTTAAGCTATAGTTAAGGAGGGAGAAGGAAGGAAGGTAGGAGGTGCTTGAGCACTCTCAGTCCTCAGGGATAATAATTTAGAGACGTGAAATGGTCTGTTTCATCCTTATTTCCTTAAATGTGTTTAGGGTTGCATTGTGTATTACACAATTTTTTTAAAAAAATGAAAGAAAGCCTAAAACGTCCTTTCAGTTTTACGCATCACTTTATTTATCTCAATTATTATTTACAAATAACTCCAGGTGGAAAAACATATCCAAGAGAGATTCCTCCTCTTTCTGTTTTGCCCACAACAACCCTGTGAGGTGAGTTGGGCTGACTAAGAGTAACTGGCCCAAAGTCACCCAGCTGGCTTTCATGGCTAAGGCAGGACTAAAACTCAGAGTCTCCCGTCCCAAAGGTGCTTTTATCAAGAGGCAGCTGGACTTTCTTGTTCTTTTTTCTTTTGAAGACGTTTCGCTCCTCCTCCAAGGAGCTTCTTCAGCTCTGACCCGGATGGTGGGAAAGGGAAGGATTTACGTTCCTTGCAGACAGTTGGTCATTTGCGTCCTTTTAGCAAGTTGAGGCCACTTGGAAGTTTATCTGTGTCCTCAGGTCATTTGCTGCTTTGGGTTTTTCTTTGAAGACGTTTTGCTTCTCCTCCAAGAAGCTTCCTCAACTCTGACAGGGTGGTGGGGAAGTTGGTCAGAGCTGAAGAAGCTTCTTGGAGGAGAAGCAAAATGTCTTCAAAAGAAAAAAAACAAGAAAATTGCCTCCTGAAAAAGCACCTCTGGGACAACCATGATCTGGATGACTTAAGAATCTTTTACCGACTCCCAGTCTCCTGCTTTTGACCTTAAGTCACCTTGATTGGAGTGGTGTATAAATAAATAAATGTACTATATAGAGATACATATATTTCTATTTTCATGTTTTGCAACATTTCGGCTTATTTTCTTTTGAGAGCGGGCATTCGAATTTCCTTTTTTAATGAGTGCCAGTGTGTGCACAGGAAAAAAAAATGGCAATGAAGATTCTCTTATATCCGTCTCACATTTCCTTGTGAAATTCGAGCTAGCATATGTGGGCTGAATGTTTCTGTTGACGGGCTCAAGGTTACCCAGTCACCTCCACAGTTGAGTGAAGGCAACAAGCCTTGGGTAGCTCTCCCAGGCCAATTCCAACATCGTAGCCACTATTCCATGCTTTTCCCTTTGTTACATCTTGTGCAACAGAATATTTAAAAAAAACAGCCGGAATTTGGTAGGTTCTCATTGCAAGAACCCATGTGAGATCTGGGGTTTCTGTACAAAATGCAATATATATATTTTATATGTATATTTTAACCTAAATGCAAAGAATTTTATGTTTACTTTTTAAAATTGTAGTATTGGTTCTCTTCACACATACACACACACACACACACACGCTCGCACATGAACGATGTGTCAGCTTTGGAAGCCACATTGAGACCCAATGCTCCCACATTTTGAGCCTGGGAAAATGGGAGGGAGAGTTTCTTGGAGTGAATGTAGTTAGACATAACGTTCTTTTTCTAATTCAAGGTCATGTTGTTTTGCACGCAAGTGAGAGGAAGTCTCAAGTTGGGACGGTTGGTGATTGGGGCATGTGATGTGATGATGGGTGCAGGGGATGGATTTGTAGTTTTTACTTATTGCAAGGAAGCCTGGAACTTTCACATTCAGGATTCCCCGGTTGTGCCAGTTTACTATCCAATTAAAACAGAACTTTTGAGAAGACGTCTGTCTCGGAGTTATTTCTTGGAGTGGAGGTTTTCTAGAACTCTGACACAATGATTACCTGCCAATGCCTTACCTGTAGTATGTCGGAGGCTGGCCATTGGCCAGAATATTTTTCCAATTCTTGACAGCCAGTTTCGTGGGGGTGTGGGGTGTGTGTGGCAGTGTGGCTGTACACCACGTTAATTTTCTACCTACAGGGGCGGGGGGGGGGGTTCTGAAGCTGAGCATGGATGTTACCCCCCTCAGCTAGAAAACTAAGCCATTACTTACTAATCTCCTTTTAATTACCCCATAATCCTTTGTGGGGTAGAGTCTGAGCAACTGAATGCAGCTGAGTGTTTACTTAGCCCTACCCACCAGGGTTAAGTTTTTATTTTAAAGAGACATAAAACATGATACAAAAGATCAGATGTGCCCGGCTTGTTAGATCCATCAAATTCCCCCAAATTCTGAAGTTAAATTTTAATTCACGTTAGTTAAATTCAGCACTCTCTTCCTGGCCCCATGCCACTTCTACACACAATATCTTGCTGCCTGCAGTTTTCAAGGACAACAAAAAAAATGTTTTTTAATGAGCCAAGGCATTCAACTGTCCGTTGTGTAGATGCAAGAATTCATACCCGAGATACAGATATAGATTAACAGGGTTGGAAGGGACCTTGTAGGTCATCTAGTCCAACCCCCTGCCCAAGCAGGAGACCCTGCACCATTTCTGACAGGTGGCAGTCCAGTCACTTCTTGGAAAGCTTCCAGTGATGAAGCTCCCACAACTTCCGAAAACAACTTCTGTTCCACTGGGTGATTGTTCTCACTATCAGAAAGTTTCTCTTTATTTCCAGGTTAAAACTCTCCTTGTTCAGTTTCCATCCATTATTCCTTGTCTGGCCTTCCGGTGCCTTGGAAAATAGGTTGACCTCTTCCTCCTCTCTGTGGCAGCCCCTCCCTCAAATATTGCAAGCTCCTATCCTGTCTCCCCGGCTGCTTCTCTTCACTAGACTAGCCAGGCCCAGTTCCTGCAACCGTTCATCGTATGTTTTAGCCTTCAATCCCCTCATCATCTTGGTTGCTCTTCTCTGCACTCATTCTAAAGTCTCCACTTCTTTTTTATAGTGTGGTGACCAAAACCGGATGCTCTATTCTAGGTGAGGTCTTACCAAGGCTTTATAGAGTGGTATTAGTACCTCACATGATCTTGATTGTATCCCTCTGTTAATGCAACTTAGGATTGCGTTAGCTTTTTTGGCTGCCGCCACACATTATTGGCTCCTATTTAGCTGGTCGTCCACTAAGACTCCAAGATCCCTCTCACAGTTACTGATATTAAGCCTGCTTTCACCCGGTCTACAGGTGTACTTTTGTTTTTTTTTATTTTTCTCTACATTGAATTTTATTTTGTTAGATAGAGATGCATGAATGTTTCCTAAGAAAGGAAGCCACTTTTCACATCACCAAAAGAGCTACAGTTGGACATAAAGTGATACAGCTGATCAGCCAGCTCGGTGTCGGGGAGCCAACACTACAAGACATCCTCGGGTCCGATTTTACAACATTTGTGTATTGCCCGAAACAAGTTCCAAAGTCGGAAGGGAAGTGCATGTTTCCAGAAATGCAGACAATTCCATAGTGTACGAAATGCGGTTTCAGTTCAGGAATTTATTTGCATAACATTGTATGAAGTTTCATTCAACTTGAGGCCTGCTCCAAAGATTTGCAAAGGCCTGACTCTGGAAAATAAACTCTGGAGAAACCTAGAAACAAATGGATCTGAACTTTCTGAACTGGACTGGACTTTCTAGAAAATCCAGTTAGTTCTTGAAAAAGCACCTCCATAGAATCACAGACAAAATGGACCTGAATGTGCTTCCTTCCTGCTTGACCCAGCCTGAAAACAACTCCTTTAGGCAGGGGTGAGATTCTGCTGGTTCGGACCGCTTTGAGTGAACTGGTAGTTCGAGTGATAGCGTGCTCACCAAACCAGTTGTTACACCGGCTGAATCCTACTACTGCTTTTAGAGTTGAGTTCTACAGAGTCCTACAGCAAATATAAGAGTGGAATTGATATTCAAGGCTGACTAAAATCTCAATCTTTCTTTCCTGAAAGGAGTACATAACTGGTTGCTGCAACATTTACTCTTTTTACAGGAGCAGTTAATATTGCCAATACCTCACTGGTTTTATCCCCTAAGTTATATTTTCTATTTCAGAGACTGATTTAAGTTCGGGGGTGGGGGGAATAAACCCCTTATTGTTTGCATTTCCCTCCTGAGCTGCAAGCAAATTATATCCACTTATATTTTATGGTTTTTTAAAGATAATCAAAACTAATCCTCCCCAGAGTTAGCAACAAGATTATGATTGACTAGCAGTCCTATACAAAAGAAAGATGGAAGGGTCTTTTTAAAGCTTGGTAATTTTCCTGCCAGGGACACGCTAAATGCTGTAAACTCCTACACTGTTCGGGCTCCAGGGAAAAGTGGCAAGTTTGCAACGTTTACCCCATTGTGAATGCCCCATCAGTTACTGAAAACGGCTCGTGTTTATGGCCGCTTGCCAATAGGGGATATAAATGAAATGTCAAAATGTTGGGAATAGTGCTAGCGCCATTGCATTTAATTACAGTAAAACCCAACAGCAATAGCTTAAGTGAACATTTATATAGTTTTATTTAGTATTGTAGTTTGGTTTATGTTGATTACTGATTTAGTATCTTATGACTTAGCACTAAGTGTTGTATCTTATGATGAATGTATTTTTATGATTACATGATTTATCCCTTGTTGCTTGTATGTTCACTGAGAGCTTCTGTACTGGAGACAAATTCCTTGTGTGTCCAGTCACACTTGGCCAATAAAGAATTCTGTTCTATTTCCATTCCATTCTATTCCATTCCACTTTACTCCATTCTATTCCTTATTCTATTCTATTCCTTGTTCCTTATTCTGTTCTATTCCATTATTCTATTCCTTTCCATTGTTCTGTTCTAATTTAATTCTTCCATTCTATTCTATTTCCACTCCATTACATCCTATTCCTAATTCTGTTCTATTCCCTTCCCTTCCATTTTACTACATTCTGTTTCTTATTCTATTTTATTCCAATTCTATTCTATGCCTTATTCTATTTCTATTCTAATTGCTATTCTATCCCTTATACTATTGTATTCCTTATCCTATCCTACTCTATTCATTCCAATGTCTATTCTTATTCTATTCTGTTCTATTCTATCTCTACTCTATTCTACTCTTCATTCCAATATCTATTCTATCCTATCCTACTATATTCTTCATTCCAATATCTATTCTATTCTACTTCTATTCCTTATTCTATTCCATTCCATTATTCCATTCCATTGTTCTGTTCTGTTCTATTGTATTCTATGGTATTCTATTCTAAATTTTCTATTCCATTCCGT